TGCCCCTGGTGCCGCTCCATCCCCGCCTCTCCGCCCAGGCAGGCGGAGTGCTCTGCCGCGGCTCCTGGGAAAGGCGATGCGCTCCCCAGGAATGGCCATACAGTCGTCGCTCACCACTCGGAACGCCAGATCAGGAGCGAGGGGGCATTTTGGGCCGCGGCGAACCTCGGCCACAGACTGGTTCCCCGACCTAGACCCAAGGAACGGCCCGAAAAGCCGAGCCCCTCCTGAGCCCAGAACGCTCCATATTTCACCGACTTGACTGTAGACTGTCAAGTCTTGATGCATGTGCGGATACGTGTGCGCATCTGCATTTATGGCCAGATGCATGTCTAGCCGTGCGTCATGCGATCTAGTGTGTGCACAATGTGCGGAGCCACCTATGTGGTGCAGTATGTGATGTGCCATGTATGTTGTGCATTTTAGGTGATGCGATATGTTCGGTACAATCTGCGTGGTGCCACCTGTCGCGCAATATATGTGATACAATCCATGTTGTATCACCTAAATTGCGCACGCTCTGTGGTGCGGTCTGTGTTGTGCGATCGATGTGGTACAGTGTAAGCTATAATCGCGATGTAACCCACGTTGTGCAAAACATGCAACGAAACTTTGCGACGTGCCATGTAGGTTGTACAAAACGTGTGCGGAGCACTGCGTTGGGCAATCTATGTGGTGCACGGCAATGCAAAGCCACGCAACGCAGCACAATGCAAAAAAACAGATACGTGGTGCAATTTAACGTCGGCGACGACCGGCGACGGCGACAACATAGCCGCCAGACCAACGCACAGGCCCAGACGATGGGCGGCGACGAGGCGACGCGGCGGCGACGGTGACGACATGGCCGCCAGGCCGACCTTCAGGCCGAGACGACGGGCGACGACGAGGCTGCGACGGGGCGGCGACGGCGACTACATAGTCGCCAGACCTGCCTATAGGGCTGGTTCCTCATACCTATACGACCACCCTTCGGGTGATAAGGAGGTTCGGGGGGGGGAGAAACCAACGTCTCAGTCGATCGGTCTCACTATCGGTCTCACCCGATCGATCTCACAATCGATCTCACTCGGTCTATTTCAATCGATCGATCTCACAATCGATCTGACAATCGATCTCACAATCGATCTCACTATCGATCTCACTATCGATCTCACAATCGATCTCACACTCGGTCTCAGTATCCATCTTACTATCGATCTCACGATCGATCTCACCATCAACGTCATCATCACCAACATCATCGTCATCAACACCATCATCATCATCACCATCATCATCATCACCATCATCATCATCATCATCGGGACTCATCACCTCATCACCATCATCATCAGCAACATCATCCTCACCGTCATCACCGGGACACCATCATGGTCACCATCAGCATCAACATCATCATCGGGGCACCATCAGCATCATCATCGGAACAGTCATCATCATCATCATCATCATCATCATCATCATCATCATCATCATCATCATTATCATCATCATCGGGACACCATCATCACCGTCAACATCAGCACCAGCATCATCACCATCATCGGGCCACTATCACCAAAACCATCATAACCACCTCATCATCATCCTCATCATCGGGACACCATCATCATCATCTTCATCATCGACATCCTCATCTCACCATATCAGCATCATCATCATCATCAGGACCATCATCATCGTCATCATCATCATCATCGGGACACCATCATCATCAGCAACATCATCAACATCAACATCATCATCATCATCATCATCATCATCACCATCATCATCATCGGGACACCATCATCATCACCATCATCACCATCATCAACATCTCATCATCAGGAGCAACATCATCAACATCATCATCAGCCACATCATCAGCATCGGGACACCATCATCATCGCCACCATCATCACCATCATCATCATCGGGACACCATCATCACCGTCAACATCAGCACCATCATCATCACAATCATCTTGAAATCACCATCATCACCTCATCATCATCATCATCCTCATCATCAACATCATCATCATCGGGACACCATCATCATCATCAACATCATCGGGACACCACCATCATCATCACCATCATCATCAACAGCATCATCATCAACCTCATCATCATCATCATCATCATCGGGACACCATCATCACCATCTTCATCATCGTCATCCTCATCTCACCATATCAGCATCATCATCATCAGGACCATCATCATCGTCATCATCATCATCGGGACACCATCATCATCAGCAACATCATCAATATCAACATCATCATCATCATCATCATCATCATCATCATCATCATCATCGGGACACCATCATCATCACCACCATCACCATCATCATCATCATCATCATCATCATCATCATCATCATCATCGACATCGTCAACATCACCATCATCATCAGGACACTATCATCATCACCACCACCACCACCATCATCATCATCATCATCATCATCATCATCATCGTCAACATCATCAACATCATCATCATCATCATCATCATCATCATCATCATCATCGGGACACCGACGGGACAGCGGCGGGACACCGGCATGACACCGCGCGAGTCATTTGGTCCGGCCGCGCCTCAGCCACAGCGGGACACCGGCGGGACACCGCGCGGCACCGGTTGCCGGAAGGGAGTCATTTGGTCCGGCCGCGCCTCAGCCACAGGAGACTTTCTTCTCGCCCGCCCACGCAGCTTCGCCTCGCCCGCACGCACGGCACGCACGAACACGAAACCGAAACCGAATTCCCGGTAAAGGGGCTCTCCGTTCCACTTCGATCTCACCCCCTCACCTCCGACCATCAATTAAGGACCCCTAAATGCAAGCACTGTGTGGGGAAGTAGAGCTTAGAGCAACACGGTGCTAACAAGGGGCTCGCCGCGGCAGCTTGTGGGAACCCAGGGGCGCGCTGCCCATCCTTCCCCCTCTCCCCCTTGCTCACACGATTCTCCTCCTAATTCGCATTGTCGTCATCTTCTTCCCCGCCCTCGTTTGCGTTCAAAACGTCGTGCTCACCCCAACCAGAGTCCCCCTTCCGCCCTTTCCCCCGCCCTCCCCCTTTCCATCCCTCCAACCCTCCCCCCACTTCATCTCCCCCTCTCCCTTCTGCTCTTACCCTTATCCCCCTCCCTTTCCAGCACCCTCCTGCTCCGCACCATCTCCTGCCCCTCCTACCCCCTCACAATCCCAAATAATTATCATTTCCCCCCTCTTCCTCCTTCTCGTCTCCTTCCTCTTCTGACTCCTCCCCTCCACCTTCCCCGCAACCTTCTTAATTCATATCCTTGATCGTGACCGTTGCGGGTGGTGATCGTGGTGAAGTGGAGATGGGGGAATCACGCACGCATCCCCGTTAAAACATATCCAGGCGAAGGTCCCAACCATATGCAGTTGCGAATACCGGAGTTGTGAGTATTTCCTTCGGTGGAGCTCCCTAGCCGCGTGCGAACGCAGCTGCTGCGACCTTCGGTGGGCCTCCCTGTGGGGACAACAAAACGTTCGAGGGGTGTGCCGAAATGGCGGTGGAACCGCATGCGAACGCAGCCACCGGGGCCTTCGATGAAGCTCCCTATGGGGCCACGGAACGTGTGAGGGGTGTGCCGAAATTGGGGTGACCGCATGCGAACGCAGCCACTGGGTCCTTTGGGGGAGCTCCCTATGGGACCCCAAAACGTATGAGGGGTGTGCCGAATTGGGGGTGGAACCGCATGCGAACGTAGCCTCTGGGACCTTCGGTCGAGCTCCCTGTGGGGCCACGAAACGTGTGAGGGGTGTGCCGAAAGTGTGGTGGAACCGAATTCGAACGTAGCCACTGGGGCCTTCGGCTGAGTTCCCTTCGGGCCCACGAAACGTGTGAGGGGTGTGTCGAAATCGGGGTGGAACCGCATCCGAACGCGGTCACTCGAGCCTTTGGTGGAACTCCCTGTGGGGCCACGAAACGTGTGAGGGGTGTGCCGAAATGGGGATGGAACCGCATACGAACGCAGCCGCTGGGGCCTTCGATGGAGCTCTCTATGGGGGCCACGAAACGTGTGAGGAATGTACCGAAAAGGGGGTGGAACCGCATGCGAACGTAGCCGCTGGGGCCTTCGATGGAGCTCACTATGGGAGCGACGAAACGTGTGAGGGGTGTGCCGAAATAGGGGTGGAACCGCATGCGAACGCAGCCACTGTGGCCTTAGATGGAGCTCCCTGTGGGGGCCACGAAACGTGCGAGAGTTTTGACTAAATGGCGGTGGAACCACATGCGAACGTAGCCGCTGGGGCCTCCGATGGAGCTCACTATGGGGGCCACGAAACGTGAGAGGGGTGTGCCCCAATTGGGGTGGTGAGGAGGGAAGAGTGGGAGGAGGGAGTGGGCAGCGGGAGGAAAGAGACGCGGGGCGCTCTCTTCAAGACGAGGACCCAACACCACAGAATAGTTGGGAACAACGGCGAGCAGAACTCCGACGCAGGCTCGAGAATCAGCTGCCCGCTTGTGGTTTTCTGGGCGTCGGAGGGCGCGGGGAGCAACCATGTGTCGAGGAGTGCGGCACATTTCCTCAGATTCTCCTCGCCCTGTCCCGTCCCCCTTTCATCCTCCCCGATTCTGCTCCTGACCCTCCCGGGCATGATCCTGACCATCCCCGTCCAAATCCTGGGCAGCCCCACCACACCGGCGAAGGAGCCCGACATCAAAGCACGAGCGCGCACCAGCGGACGGCACCTCCACGAGAATCGCCAGGCGAAAAGGGCTTCCCCAGACACTGAGAGGAGGTTTTCCGCCACCACGCGTTGACCCCTGGAGGTCTCGGCCCCCTTTCCTGGGGTTGGATGTTATCCCGAGTTGTTTTTCTGACGGTCCAAAGCGGGGTAAGGGCCCACAGAGACCGATAATTGCGATTTTGATTTCTGCTTTGGCTCGTCTCTGAAAGGGGAAGCGACCAGCGAGGTGATGGGAGGGATGCCGAACACGCCAATCGTCTTGGCACCCTGGGCGAAATGCCTCGCCAGTCTCTGGGTCCTTTTGCACGACCTCCTCGGCGAAAGAGTCGAAGGACACTTTGATCACCTACCAAGAGAATGAAAAGGCGATAAGGAGAGAGGAGGACGAGCAGGCGGACACCGTTTGTCCAGCCCTTTAAGGCGGTAGCGCGCCCGATTTGCATCCCCGGGTCCAAAGTTTTCCCTTGGAGCAACACATGTACAAGCAAAATGATTCAATTGGGTCCTGTTTCGGGTTTGCGACAATCTGGTGGATGCTATTTCTGCGCCCGGCGGATCTAATTTCCAGTGCAGGAAAACGGGTGGATCAATTTATTTCGATGGAATGACTATGCAATAAAAAACATTAGGTTCCCTGGCCCAGGGGGCAGGGGATCCACGGGGCAATGCACGTGACACATAACGCTGTGATTATACGGGGGTGGGTATTCCACCATCATCATCTTCTTATTCACCCTCGTCCTCATCCTCACCCTCCTCCTCATCCTCCTCATCCGCATCCTCATCCTCATCCTCATCCTCATCCTCATCCTCATCCTCATCCTCATCCTCATCCTCATCCTCATCCTCATCCTCATCCTCATCCTCATCCTCATCCTCATCCTCATCATCATCATCATCATCATCCTCATCCTCATCAGTATCATTATCATCTAAGTCGTCATCATCATCAGCATCACCATCATTATCATCATCGCCACCATCATCACCACCAGCTCAAGCGTCACCGAGGGCTCTCGCCCACTTCCACAACACCCTCACAACAATGGAAGCCGTGCAAGGCTCGCTTCTCATTGCGGTCCCCTCCCACTCCCAGGACTCCCCCCCATAATATGGGGTAGCTCGAGCGTCAAACAGAGCGCGCATCCGCTCACGTCGCCCATAACAATGACGAGCTCGGCCGTCACCGGGGGGCCCCCGTGTGGACTCTCGAGCTCATGAGGCACGTCCTTGGACCTGCGGAAATATTTTTACCAGTATTGTTCCCAATCGCAGCTGTGGTGACATTCCCACACGCACACACACACACACACACACACGCATACACACGCACACACACACACACACATTCCCACCTGCTGCATTTCAGCGTGACTTGCCGCATTCGCCTCATGTGGCCAGCGAGGATGCAGCGGAGCGGGTTCGCCGCTTGGTCTGTTCAAAGCAACTCGGGGAATAACATCCCTGGGTACGTAGCCACCTGTCTGTATTGCTCGCTCACGCCGCGAACCCGGCACGGAGGCGACAAGGGAGGAATGGGGGGATGAGTGAGAAAGCGGGAGAAGGATGTAGAGGAGGGAGGAACGAAGAAGAAGGACAAGTGGGAGGGGAGGCGGAGGTGGAGGAGGGAGAGGCAGGAGCATGGAGCATGGATTGGCCTGCCTCCACAGAGGCAGGCCCTAGAAGAGAAGGCTGAAAAAAGAGGAAGCGCAAGGCCTGGATCAATGGCCGAAACTGGGGACGATAATACTACGCATCAAAGTATGAAACATGTCTGTAATAGTCATCCGTGTCGGCAACAACAGCATCGCCGGCAACCACATCACCAATACGATCGACACCATCTTCTTAAGCGTCATTGTCAATCACTGCGGGGATGGTACGGCGCCACGCACGCTCAAGCTGCGGGACTGAGGGTAATTTCGAGTCCTGTGCAATGGTATCCCCAAGCTGGTTGTGCAGCCCGAGGGCAGCATGAACCACAGGACCCAAGGAGCCCGCCGAGCAGGCGCCCGATACGATCGCAGCTCGTGGCGATGAAAACGGGGGGTGAGCAGGAGGGGGAGGAAGGGCACGTACGAGGAGGGAGGAAAAGGGATGTGGACGGAGCCAGAGAGCACTGCGAATGATTCGGTGTCCACGGTCCGCGGCGCAGGCGGAGGTTGGGGGAGGAGCAGGACAAGGGGGCCGTGTAGAAGAAGGGAGCGAGAGGGAGGAGGAGGAGGAGGAGGAGGAGGAGGAGGAGGAGGAGGAGGAGGTGGAGGAGGAGGAGGAGGGGGAGAAGGAGGAGGGGGAGGAAGAGGGGTGTTGAGGGGGGTAGGGCGTATGAGGCGTGGGGCACAAACCGGCCCCTCCCCCCACCAGCGCAACAACCAATCCTGCCAGCATCCCTCTGAGTCCACATTCTTCTCGACAAACTGGCTCCTCTGCCACAACAGCACAATACCCGAGACGTACCTAACCCTTTCTCCCCATGAAGCCAGGACGAAGATAACACCTGGTGAGGGTAAATCGAGGATCTCTGAGATCCAGCGGCTCTGCAAGATGCCCCGGGCGCCGCGGCCTTCCCAGAGCGTTCCGGCACGCACTGAGAGCGTTCCGGATCGCACTGGAACGGATTTATCCCCGTCCTAGCCCCGTCTGGCTCAAGGGGCCCTGTAGGGCCTCTTTTAGGGACCATTTCTTCACCCCCGAACCGCGCAGCACGAAGCGCGAAAAACTTTGCGCCCTCGAGGGCGCCCTTGCTTACCACCCCTTCAGTCAGGGCTCCTTAGACCCAGACAAGCTACACCAAAACATCCAACATCCCTCGAAACCATTTTTCCAGACGGCACTGCACTGCAACACTTTTGGAAGAAACCTGGACACAGGCCCTGAAAGCATGCAAAACACACCACAGACCCAGACAAAGACCCGAATCCTGCAGAGCAGCAACAGAAACCCAAATCATTGGATACCTATTTGTTCGGTCGCGATCGGTAGCGACCGATCGGCACACTCCAAACCGGTCGCCACCGATCAGTGGCGACCGATCGGTCGCGACCGATTTGGAAGCACCTCGTTCGCGACCGATACCGGAATCCGACGCAAAATCGGCAGCGACCGATCTCGTCTGTCTCGACCGGAGAGCTCCTGGTCTACAACCCCCCCCCTAAAGTAGCCGATCCCTACCCTAACCTGACCCAGGCCCTGTCGACACTGCGCCAACGCTAACCTGACCCCTTGAAGTCAACGTGGCCACCGACTCGGCGACACCAAAGCGCCACGCGCGCGCGCGGCGTAGTTCCGCCGAGATCAAGGCAGATCCGCCGAGACTGGTCCGGACAGCCGTGCGCCCCCCGCCGCGGCAGCCACCCGCGGCGGCCTCCTCCTCCTGCGGCGTCAGCCCGCGCGCGAGGCTCCGCGGGGTGGCCATGGCCGTCCGCCTCCGCTGCCCAGCGGGTCATCTTGTCGTCCACGTCCTCGTCGTCCCCGTCGCTTTCGTAGTCGTCGTCGTCGTCGTCGTCGTCGTCGTCGTCGTCGTCGTCCTCGTCGTCGTTGTCGCCAACCTCGTCATTCTCGTCGTCCTCGTCTTCGTCGTCGTCCTCGTCGTCGTCGTCGTCGTCGCCGCCGTCGTCGTCGTCGTCGTCCTCGTCATCGTCCTCGTCGTCGTCGCCGCCGTCAACGTCGTCGTCAGCGTCGTCGTCGCCGGCGTCGAGGGAAAGGGAGGGGGAAGGCACGCACACATGGGGACATGAGGGAGAAAATACTTGATTGTAGTGACTGTGTTGTTTGTTGTGACTTATTGACACGACATATTGACATACATAGGTGTACGTATGTATACATGCATGCACGCATGTATGTACGTATGCCTGTATATACATATGCACAAACAAACACACATTTAAAATCTTTCGTAATTCCGTTCCGCGGTGTGGGGTTTGGGGATTGAACATTTCGGGACGTTGGCGCCTGGGGACCTGGATGTGGATAGCGTGTCGCACCGAAGCGCGGTGAGCCAGAACCGGCGGCGCGACACGCGATCTAAAGTGTCCGACCGTATGTAATGTGCGCATGGACCCGCAAGGGTGCACTGCAAGGACCGAAGACCCTTGGACGCCCAAAATGAAGCCGACGCTAAAGGTATCATGTCAAGAGCTAAAGTCTAAGGTGGGCCGAAAGGCAATGATGCAAGGGTGCACGTGGGAAGTGGTTCATAGCTGCATGCCTGGTCGGGGGGATGGCGTGCCGAGAGAAACTGCCCGACCAACGGGTCCTCCGCCTGATGGAACAATGCTCGAGGCTAAGGACTTTCCTTCCGTGCTCCATCATCCTTCTCCTCATTTTTGGTTTCTCTCTCTCTCTCTCTCTCTTTCGCAGCGGTTTCGTCCGTCCCCGCGTGGTCGAAGCGGGAGGTACCTCTTTCCGGAGGAGGGGGGATGTGAGGTGGGGGAGGGCCGCCCGCCCCCCCTGCGAAAACCATCACGAAGCCCAGCGGAAGCGGTGGGGGTCGGAGGGAGCGGCCAGGCCACTCAAAGGATGCAGCCGTCCGTGCCGAGGACGGCGCACCCTGCGCGCAACGTTGCACACCACGTACCCCGACCGTAGAGCTGTAGACGTTGTGCGGCCCAGGCATTCGGTAGCGTATGCGGGAATACCATCGTCAGCGGGCTGTGGTATGCCAACCTCGCCGTGACTATTGCGCCATTCGATCGTCGACTGCGTCGAACAGGCGTTCGCCGTGGAAGATGTTGAGGAAGAACTGGGTTAACCCCTCGCTGGCCTTCAGAGGCTGCGAGGTCGTATAACAGCTCGCACACGTAGTCGTTTTCATCGGATCGGGATATTGGTAGTCTCGGGCCTTCTCTTGGGAAAATGATGTTCGATAGGCTCCACGTTGGTACTCTTCACGCTGATGGCCATCGGTCCCGGTGTGAATGCCCAGCGAGCCAAGGTGGCATCCCATGTGCCCGGAATACCTTCGAGGCCATTGTGGCGCCCCTTGCCTTTAAGCCAGGCTACTCGGGCTGCCACCCCTTGTCGTGGTCCTGCGTACGCAGATACTTCGGCGTGTTCTTGGAATCTGGCTAATTCGGCCAGTGGTGTTTCTGGTACCCTTTGCAGTTCAGCTGGTCGCCTTGGTAGCTCTGTGAGGGGGCTCGTAGCTCAAGTTGCGGCCCTGGTAGCTCAGCATGTGGCCCTCGTAGCTGAAATAGTGGGTCTCGGAATTCGGCTTCTGGTCCTTGCCTATCAGCTTGTCGCCCAAGTCGATTTGCAGGAGGCTCACAAAGATCTTCCTGTCGTCGCGCAGCCCTAGTTGTGGCCCTGGTAGCTCAACAGGTGTCCCTCGAAGCTCTCGCAGCTGCGCCGGTGGTCCTCGTAGCACTGCTGGCGCCTCCGGTACCTCACCTGGTGGTCCTCGTAGCTCAGCTGTTGGCCTTGGTAGCGCAGCAGGTGGTCCTCGTGGTTCAGCCGGGAATCCTCGTAGTCCTGATGCGGCTGTCGTAGCTCACTTCTCAGTCCTCGTTGCTCAGCTCAGCTCGTGGATCTCGCGGCTCCGCTAGTGGCCCTCATAACACGGCAGAGGGGTCTTGAAGCTCTTCCGGGGGCTCCCGTAGTTGTGTCTGTGGACCTCGTCGATCAGGTTCTGGTCATCGTAGCACAGCTTGCGGATCTCGTGGTTTTGCAGGTGGCTCTCGTAGCTCGGCTGGTGGGTCTTGAAACTCTTCTGGTGACTCTCGTAGCTGTGCGGGTCGCCCTCGTAGTTCAATTCAGGTCGTGGTCACAGAAAGTCGCCTGGTGGCCTTGGTTGCTCTGCTGGCAGCGGCAGTCGCTCTGATCATTGCCGTCAAAACTCATGTAATGGCCCACGTAGCTTTACAGGTGGCTCGTGTGGCCCTGCTCCTGTGTGGCACGCTCTCTTCGTAGTCCCCGAAATCCGAGCCAGCGTCGTCGGCTGCCAAGTCGTAATGTTCCGCGTGCTTGTAGTCCTTCCCGCTGTCGTAGCCCTGCGGCCCGTCGTATCTCAGGGGGTCGTAAGAATTCGGGCCACTATCGGACGAACAGTCGCAGTCGTGCTCGTCGTATGCGGCGCGGCCGTAATCGTAATCGTCGTGGGCGGCGCGGCCGCTGTCCACACAGGTACCTCCACGACGACGTACTTAGTCACCCTTTCGGGCTGCTGGGTCGTGTTCTTCCTGGTGTCGGTCTTGGTGGCGCGAATGGTGTCGCAGTGGTGGTGGTACTCGTCCCCAGGCTACCTGTTACGCAACTCATTATCGTACTCGGGTTGCCTCTTGGGCAGCTCGTTTTCGCGCTGGGGTTACCTGTTGCGCTGCTCGTGCTTCGACACTCCCGCTGAGAGGGTCGTAGCAATGATTATGACATCGCAGGGTCGAGGCTGTGTCCCATGCCAGCCGTCGCGCCCCACTCGTTGTTGGGCCTCGTCAGTTCGCGCTCACGCTTCTCCATGCATGTACGGTATCGGCATCCTTGCCGGTATGTCTCCGCGACAGTGGTTCAGTCTCGCTGTCCCGCACACTGGTGACCTGATGGATGATGTTGTCGACGCAATTGATCGCCGACTGTTGGATGAACTGGTGCACCTGAAAGTTGTTGTAGACGATGTGCGCGTATCCGATCGCGGCTGCGCGCTGAGGCCAGCCCCCCCTGGGGCCCAGCGCGGATGCACGGGAGCCTGGGGCCAAATGGCCTTTTACAAGAATGGCTACAGGGCCCCCTCCTCCTCCTCCTCCTCCTCCTCTTCCTCCTCCTCCCCCTCCTCCACCATCTCCTCCTACTCCTCCCATCCTTCATGTTATACCCCTGCTTCCCCCCCTCCTTATCCCCATCCGTCCTCCACCTCCCCCCAATCCCCCCTCCACTCCTTCTCGCCCCCTCCAAGCCCGCCCACCGCTCCCCGACGGGCTGCGCTGGGACCTGACGGGCCACGCTTGCCGTGAGACCACCAACTTCCTTCCGCCCCCGTTCCGCCCTCTCCGAGAGGAGAGGTCGCCATTGGGGGAAACAGGTCCTGGGTCTGTTCGCCGTCTTCGGGCCCTCTGGGCCCTCCACGAGCCCCGGGAGTATCAGAAAACGACTCGGGATGAGGATCTCGTCCTTAGGGAAGGCTCCAGGGTCCAGGACCCGTTCTTCTCAGGACCCCTTTTCTCCCATGCTCAAGAGGGAAGAGGGAGCGAACGCGACCACACACTCCAGAAGGACGAAGGCGAGGGGGGGAGGGGGCCCTCCTTCCTTCCAGACGGCGGCAAGGAAAGCACACGAAGTGGGAGCGAGATGAGCCGGGAATCTCTCAGAGGAGGGGTCTGGCAGGGGATGTCGAGGGAGAGGTTGGCTGATCTCTGTGAAGCCTGCTGGCGCCAGACTGGCCTTGGGGACAACCATCTATCGAGAAGAAGGCCCAGCGGTGGGGCCGAAACCGGCTGCATTCAACAAGTGCCGTTTCCCTCCTTTCCGGGTCATTCTTGCGTCCGAGCAGGAGCACACCCTGGAAGGACTACGCATCTTCTTAGGCCTGTCTGACCTTCGACGACGAAGACGGCGACCCGCGTCCTCCAACGGCGTGCGGATGTCTCTGGGCGGCCAAAAGCTACCAAAAAACGCACAACAACCTCGATCCTCGACGACGACGACGGCGGCGGCGACGACGGCGGCGGCGGGGACGACGACGACGAAAGCGACGACGACGAGAGCGACGACGAAAGCGACGAAGAAGACGACGACGAAAGCGACGAAGACGACGACGACGACGAAAGCGAGGACGACGACGACGACGACGACGACGACGACGACGACGACGACGACGACGACGACGACGACGACGACGACGTCGGCATCGACACCGGCGCCGCCGACGACGACGACGCCGACGCCGACGACGCCGCCGACGACGACGGCGCCGCGGGCCCCCCGTGGCCACGCGGCGGCGCCGCGGTGCGGCGCGCCGGGCGCCCGCCCGCGATGGCGGCGCGCCGG